GAACAGTGGTTGCTTTGTTTCCCCGATGTATAACTGGTCGCAGTCCTCCTGGCACTTAACAGCATATACAACATTGCTCTGTTTGTGCCGGGGCATCGGATCTTTGGGGTGAACCAGCCTTTGCCGTAATGTGTTTTGGGGTTTGAAAGCCACTGGGACATCATGTTTAGAAAATAAACATCTCAATTTCTCCAAAACACCCGCAACATACAGAATAACCACTGGTTTGGGTCTGGGTTTGGATCAATTTAGATCAATCTTTCCTGGTAGTGAAGCAACTTAAACAGCCTCAGTTTAAAGAAATAGTTTAATTTTGATCCAAYTCATGAGCAATCGCTAGTCTGAATAAAGCCAATGTGGATTACTATCATCTTTTTGATTTAGTAGCAAACCCTAACACTTCTAACAAACCTTTACACCATCCTTCAGTGTTGCATTAAATAGTTACTCCAGCAGAAATACTTAGTGGTAGGAATCTTCAGACAAACCACAATTAAAAATTATAGAGCTGCAATGATCAAATAAAGTGTAATCTACAACATGTGAGATATTAAATGATTATAATTACTCCACAGAATGAACCTCATTTCATTTAATCTGAGCTCTCACTTTTATTGGACTGATTAATGACCAACTGTGTGGAGGTGAAAGATTTGGTCTTTAAGCCAGTTTTAGTGTATCAAAGTGTTTTCATGCCAATCTTTATTATGACATTTTAGAACAACTACTAAAAAAATAGWTTTTTTTTGCCTACAGAGAACAATTTCAGAACTTATTTAACTTAAGAGAGACATAAGTCTGTTTCTTTTATTAATGGACTCTGTAAACTATGTCTAAAATATTAAATAACCAAATATCACAATTGGGAGTATTCTTTAGACTTTTAAACTATAAAAYAATTGTGTTGTAAAATGAAGAAGACTTTCTAAAAAATACCAAAGTGCCATCCTTGAGGGAACAGATGTGGTGAGTCCCCCTCTGATTTTTTTGTGGTGGAGTGTAAATGAAGTGCCACGGGTAGCCGCCAATCTGGACACCGTCATTAGAGCTCGCTTCAAAAAGTACCGGCAGAGAATCTGTGACATACAAGAAAAAAAAAAGATACTGACAGAATCAAACAAACTATGTTACTTCCAGCCAAAGTAACACAATAACACAAAACTACTGGTCTCAGCTTACAAACTGACTCACCTGTGATCTGAATGTTAACTGGGATGCCAAATGGAAAATCTCCTACTTYTTTACCTCCGAGAAGTGAACTCTGCTTTCCCAGAGTTATTGTTTCAGTTTGGTACTGTAAAAAATAAAATAAAATAAAATAATAATAATAATAATAAATAAAAAACATCAAATAAATCACAAAAACAAACTTGCAAACAGCAAGGTCAACCAAAATGAAAACTTTTGATTTTTAACCAAAGTGTTTTTTTAAATGCAGTTTTCAACAAAACATAATAAATACATACATACCCTTTGGACAATGTGTTCAAAGCTGAAGAGTCTCACTTTCTTGTTGCTGTAAGACACGGCGAGGACCCCCTGAGACATAACAACATCAGTAATGCCACTTCCAAAACCCTGAAAAGAAAATCCTTCACACTTTAAAAACATTCAAATCTCAAAAGCTTGATTAAAATAACAAAACAAAAGCCTGCACACCTTTTTGTTGATCTCAATAATGCCCACAATTTGTAAAGGGAAAACATGAAAAACAGCCAGATACATAAATGTATTGTAAGAGATACCTGCCTGCAAAAAAAAAGGGTAATGTGAATTAATTCATCCATTCATGCCATCACTAAACATCTGATAAGACAATTACTTAAATATACAATTTATATTACGTTAAACTTCAATTCCTAAAGTTTTTTTTTCTTTTTAGTTTCAAGAAGTAAATTCATGAACTCTTGAAAATCAATTACTGCAGGTTTATGAGAATTTTATTCTTCGTAGAAATCTAATTTCTCTCACAGATTGTGTGAATATGCTCACTACAAAATACATTCCAATAAGCATACATAATAAAGTGCACAATTACCTGTCTCCCTAAAGGTGTTTCTTTGTTTTGAACAGTTTTAACATAAAATGTTTCTTGAGAAGCATTCCAGCCAAGATATCTACAAAACAAAAATGATTTTGTAAGTTTTCAAACGTCAAAATAAATTCGTAAACGTGAATAAAACAGGTTACATTCAATCAAGATACTTGAAGTTGTAGTTTGGAGAGAGGTAAACACTTTGAAGCTCTTTTCCCGTTTCAGTTGAAAAGCGACGAAGCCAACTGTTGGCTGTCAATGCCAAGAGGCTGGGATGGTGATCTGTGGGGGAAGGTAACGTTTTTTCCTACAAAACAAGAAAACAATAAGTAAACAAACAAACATTAGTCTGCAGTGGATTGCTAAAATGTTTTAATAGGAGGTAGTTCCTTGGTAAAAACCTTGTAAGTAACAAATAAATGAAAGAGTTTTACTTACAAGTGGACACTGACATAGCAGGGCATCTTCAATTTTCTCCTGTTTGGATCTCTTTGGCAGTTTGTACAAACTTTGAGGCTCAGCATGAACACTGAAAATACAAAATGTTTTTTTTTTCAGGCATGTTCTGCCACAGGTCTCTTCATGAATTGCATTATATAAACAATGTGCAAAATAACTGTGCTTTTAAACAGAGTCTATTATATTCACATAGGTTTTACTGTATAAACTAAAGCCATTATCCATTAGTCTGAAAATTAGGCCAATGTGGAAGTGCATCAAACAGGGCTTTATTAGAAAATAAAAATATCAGGACTGTACAAAAAAACAGTTCAAGTGAGATGTCTACTCACCAGCTGTAGCAGTTTTGGTAATTTTCAAAGTAGATGTTCCCATTCTCATACATTATTGCCGATTTTGAGGTCTTGCTCCATACTTTAACGAAACTCCTACTGTCCTAAAATGTGACAATAACCRTGTAAAACACACAAACATACGTTTTAATAAGAGATTAAATATTTCAACGCACTATGTGTTCATCACCTGAACGAGGATGCCTCTGAAGATCTTTAAACAGCGTCTGTACAAACTCCCAGCATCTGTGATACCTCTGCTCCTCAGGCTCAGCAGCTCAGCGGTGTTTACGGAGCTCTTCGTCCTGCGTGGCGCCATCAGCAGGTCGAAGAAGTATTGCCCTACAGGCGGAGCTAATCCCGCAGCGTGGCAAACTACAACTACAAGACCCGAACTGTGGCCCGAACGACGCACAGGTAGTGACTACGTAGTTCTCCAGTTGTAACTATCCGCACAAACTCTGAATAGCATCAAGTTATCCCCGCGATCAGAAAACTTCAGCTTCAGTCACTAGCATTGTTGTTCAAAGCGTGTGTATTTATCGAGCTATAAGGCATAACGGATTTTAACAAATTCTAAATTTGAGATATTTTTTGTAAAAAAAAAAAAATCGTGTAATCCGTGAAAATTCATCTCTTTCTTCCATTGATGTTGTTGCGCAAATTAGCAATTAGCTTTACCATCCCATGGTTTACAATTGTCTTCTTCTACGGAGGAATTAGGCGCACTTACGCTTCTCCCTTAAGAAGTGTAGCGCCATCTATCGACGGCTGATGGGTACTACAAATGATTATTACCTCGATTTTTACCCTGCCTGCAATGCTTTAGAACAGTGGTTCCCAAACTTTTTGTCTTCTGACCCACAAAATATCCATGGCAAAAACTTGTGACCCCAAATATTACTGGTCTGAGTACATGAGCTCCGTTAATAACCCTAAAAACACAGTTTTTTTGACAATCTAAACAGCTTGTACACAAATATACTTATTTTTACC